GGGGTCTCTAAGAAGTAGAGAGAAGAAAGAGAGGCAAAGAAGGGGCTAGTTGCTGTATCTGTAAATGGTGCTGAAGACAGAAGGACTTGGGGAAGGGAGAAAAAGAAAACCCATTTCCAAATCTACTGCTTGAAAATTCCCTGTATTTAACCAAACTTCCTTTTCTGTTCCAATTCACTCTGTCTCTATTTCACTTATGCTACAACCAAGAAAGCCCTATGACATGGGAGGCATATTTTAGGAGAAACACGGAGTGATACAAGGCTAGAATAATGGGGGCTTGATGTTGGACAAGGCCAGGCTCTAAGTAAGGAAACTTGGGAGTCTCATGTGATGGATGGAAGACACTATCAAATGCAGCAATGATTATGTAGGTGACAGGGTTATTATTACAAATTTATTACTCCTCTGCCTTTATAACATTATTTAGTAAATTTTAATTTCCTAGGCCATAAATCATAAATACAACAAATTATTCTTAATTCTAATATTTATGTACTGAGGTGTGTGTAAATATTAACATGTGCGTACATGTATTGTGTGCATTCTTTCAGGCTGTTTCTTGGCTTCTTGAGGCAAACACCCTGTGATAAAGACACGACTATACCTAAGTTGAGCACAGCTCCAGGCTTTTGGCAAACCTCTAAGAACTGAGATTGTTTCCAAGTCACCCACACTGCAGCAATGGATCACCATGGAGTTTGCAGTGAGGAGAATCTTAAGACAACCTAAAGACATTTTTGGAGGTCAAATATGATACACTACTTCTTAAAGAATCAAAGGGATTTTTTCCACTCCTTCATAAGGTGCCAGGTATAAGAACTTTTACCATTCTGCTCTTAGTATACTCTGGATATCAGATGCAACCAGCAAACTGTCTAATCCAAAACAAACAAACAAACAAAAAAAAACAACAACACTTCAATTCCTCAAACTCCAAAAGGCAGTACAAATATCCATAAATGAGTTCAATCTGGACTATATAAGGATTTCTGGCAGTTGGCTAAAAAGGCAGTCAAAAGAGCCAATTTCCCTTACCTCTGGCAGAAGGCCTCTCAGTGTGTCACAGTGCATGCTGGGGTCACAAGTACCCTGTTAGCATCCTGGCTCCTCACCTCCGCTCCTACCCTCAACTCCCTCCAGCTCATGGGCTTCCCTCCCCACAGCACTCATTCTTCTTATAGCCCTGCTATGCCTGCTGTGTGCTGCCCCACCTTTGCTCCTGCTTCTCTCGCTGTCCTTTCTCTATCCCCTCCCTTCTGTTATTCTCCCCCTTTCTCCCAAATAACCCAGGCCATATCCAGACTGCTGGCCAGGCTGTCTACTTCTTTCTCGCTGCTCTTGACTCTTCCAGATGCCTCTGACTGTTCTTTCTCTCATATCTACAATTAAAAAACCTTTCCCTAACCATACTATGAATCGGTCATGTCATCATTTTATGCATCAGTTGCCCAACGGGGCACACAGAGACCCCTTTCCAAGGTGCCTAGCCTCTCCGAATCAAGCTGCTGACTTGACTCTGCTAAGATATGGAAAATTTGGTTCTTCTGGCTCCTAATGCCCAGCATCCCTCTTCAGCTGCTTCTTCTCTCTGCCTGCTCTCTCCTTAGAACTACCTACTCTATCCTGTCAGTTCCTAGAGACTACTACTGTCACAAAAGTCATGCTAATGTGTCAGGCAGCTTCTCTCTCCCTGTTGGGAATCTCAACCCAGGCAAAGGGATGCCTCTTCTCTGTGATTTTGGATGTTTTTCCCTGACAAGGCTCTCAGTCCACTTGGGGATGCCCTGGATTGAAATTCTTGTCACCTTCTCTCTTCCATCCTTCCTCTCCCGACATGGTCTCAGCTCCCTCCTGGAGCTTGCTCTGTCTCTCTTGTCTATCTCCTCGCTCTAATCCTAGCTCCCTCCTTGCTAGCTCTGTCTCTCAACTCCATCCTGAAGCTAACTCTGTCTCTAACCATGGCTAACTATTTGTCTCTCCTCAGCTCCCAATGGATCTTCCTACTTTTTCTCTGTACTTCTCATTGGCTCACTGGGGGCTACTGTTGGAGACCTGCAAGGTACATCAGGCATATTTCCATGCTCTCCTGGGCCTCTAAGATAAGGGAATCTTCCTGCTGGTGGAGTTTCCTTAAGTCTTTCCTACCTGCTCTTCATTGTGTTTCTAAAGAATCTCCCCCCCCCTGCTCTTCCCATTCAGAATGCTCCTCCCTCCCCTTCACCTCTTCTCTCATCTCTTTTCTTCCACAGACTCAGAGATCCCATTAAACCTCATTGTCTCACTGCAAATGGCTTGACCTCAGTACATCCCAATGGCCAAACGTGGCACACTAGATTTCCAAATTTTCACACATTGTAACAACTTCTGCCACTGCACAAACAAACGATCTCCAAATCTCTTATCCATAAAGTTTCTCTGCTCTCCACTCTCCAAAAAAAAAAAAAAAAAAAAATCTCTTAGTTCTAAGCCTTCTCTGCTCCCTGCTCTTATCTCTGCGCCGTCTTTGCTCTGTCTGCTCTAGTCTTTCCCTCTGATGACTAAATTCAGTTTTACAGAGAACCAAATGCCCTGTGTGTATGGATAACATTTAAATATTGTCAAATGCTATTCTGCTTTATTTAAAAAGAATTCAGTTCCGGAGTTCGGTTATGGCCTTCCTCTCCAGGTGTAAGAATGGTTGTTTAAAAGTTTCCTACAAAATCTCTGTCTTGGGTAAGGTAGGGTCACTTGCCTTTGTGACCCGAAGAAGGGCAGCAAAACAGAATAACACAGGAAAACATACTCTGTGCTCTAAAACAGCCCAGTACGGCTCATTGTTCCTTTACTCATACTCCCCTTCTCGAAACTTCTTGTATCTCAGGATTTGTAAATTCACTGGATGTGGTTTAAAAAAAAACTTGTAAAATCTGTAACAAAAAGTTAACTTAAAATTTGTAACAAAAACCGTTGATAATTTAAAAATCTATAGCACACTTACAGCACAGAAAGTCCGCCAAGCCGTAGACCGGTGTTGATCTGTGAAGGGGGTCCTGCCATCACTCACCTCTGGCCCTGCCCACCAGTTCCAGGCAGGAGTCTTGGTTTAGATACAGAAGACCCCTGCCCAGAACCTGGGATCTGTCTGGAAGGGAACTCTGTCTAGTCCTCAGCACCCCAGCTGCTGTTAGAGTACCTGGTGTGGTCCCCGAGAAAGGCCACCGAGGCTGACAACAGGTGGACTGTCAGTCAGAACTTGAGCCCCTCACAGATAAGTTTGCTAACCGAGGATACACAGTCCTCATCTGTTCCAAGCGTGGACTTAGAATCTAGAAAAACTAGAGATGGGAAACCTTCATGCAGACTGCTGTTCTCGTATGTCCCTTCCAGGGGTAGATCAACGTGGTCTAGGGCAGAGAGAGGAGTCAGTAGATCAAGTTGTCGAAAAGTAGCTAGAAAAAGGCCTTCACAGATTCTAATTTTAGGCACATCCTGCCAAGGACAAGGTATCTTGCCTGTTACACAAAGTCCATGCTAGCATCCTAGCCCCTCTCATCTTCTCCCCTACCCTAAACTCCCTCCAGCTCACAGGCTTCCCTCCCTGATGATCCTGCTGTTCTCTCTCTTTCCTCAATGTTCAGTTCCTGCTTCTCCCACTAGGTTTTCTCTATTCTCTATCTTCTGCTGTTCTCCCCTGTCTCACAAGAGCCCTGGGCATGTCCTGTCTACTGGCTATGTTCAATCTACTTCTTTCTCTATACACTCCAGACCTCTGGCTGTTCTCTCTCTCTCTCTCTCTCTCTCTCTCTCTCTCCCTCTCTCCCTCTCTCCCTTTCTCTCTCTCATCAATAGTAAGAAAATTTCCCCTTAACCATGCCATGAAGTAGGCATGTCTTCAGTTTATACACAAACTGCTTGTGCCTTGGCGTTAAAGCTGAGTTCCAGATCAGCGCTGCCACCAAACAGCTGTACTATCTCTGTGGTGTTTAAGCTCTCTGAACTTCATTTCCACTTGTAAAAGCGAGCAGAGGCTGGGCAGAGGTTGTCTTCCTCCCTTCTCTGCTGCCGTGAAAACCGATTTCAGATCATTGTACTTCGGAGTTTTTAGGGTCCCAATAAGACAGTTTGTCTAAACTCAGAACAGGGTGAGCCCCTCCCCCCTTCCCAGGTAGAATCCCTTTGATAGGCCATTATCAAGCTAGCTCCTCTGAGCCCCTAGGGGACTCTTCTGGATAGGAGAAGGACCGGAGGGTTCTTATTTCTGTGCCTGTCGCAGACACCGGGCTGAGACCCAGAGCCCAAGGGTTACCGGGACAAGCTTGCCGTGAAGCGCTAGCAAAATGCAAGTGAGAGAAGAAACAGGGCAAAACAACAACGTAAAAATAGCCAGTAGTCCAGTCACCCACAGTTTCACACGTGAATTCCCGGAAGGGAAGAAAATTGGTTTGCTTGTTTTTTCCGTGTTGTCACAAGAACGTAAACAAATCTTCAGAGACGTATTAAGTTTATTAATCCAAAGTAACTTCCTTAAAGTTACTTTCTTAAAGTTACTTTCAGAAATGGTGCCTTCTGACTCCTGGGTTGTAACCACAGCCCAGAGTCGACTCACTTTCCCGTTTGAACCAATTGTCAGAAGTGCCAAGTCCACTCGTGCCACACAGGCTCGGAGGGAACCCCTCTCCTGCCACAAAATGGATCTCTGCCTGGGCATATCTCCCGGCCCGAGTCCCTCTCCAGCCGTGCCAAAGCCATTGAAGACTCGGCCAGCACCAAGCTCTGGTCGTACCCCACCCATACTCTTCCCAGAAAAAAAAAAAAAAACAAAACAAAACGCTCGAGCTGCAGGGTCTGAGCCCAGGATTCAGTCCTGAGCACTGAGCCAAGAAAGAAAGCAGCTCCCCCGACTTTCTGAACATCTGGACGGAACGGGGTGGCCGTCATGCCATGCTAGCCCCATCTGGATTTCGGCGCGGTGGTCCACAGTGGGCAGCGTCCCACATCCCAAGCGTCCCGAAGCTTACCAGAGAGAGGACAGCCCAGATCCATAGCATTTCTGTGCCTGTGAGGGAAAGCCAGCCTAAGTCTCCACCTCTCAGCAGGGTTGAGTCACTTACGCGGGCAGTCCCCACCCCCTCTGCTCTTGACGGTCTCTGGGACTGCACTTTGCCTGGGCCCCGCCCCTGGCGTGCCTGAATGTAGTTCTCAAACGGCTTCCCTGAGCTCTCCGCAGAAATCGCTTTGAACACCTGTATGTCAGTTTTCTGAGGGACCAGACACAACCTATGTAAAGCCCCTGAGTTTGGAAGGAAGTCTTCTGGGGTCGGGGAAAATCCACTGATTCATCGACTCACTGGGGCGGGGAGGGAGTGAGGAGTAGTTAGAGAAGGGGTTGATTGCACAACCGGGCATTCCCCCATCCTGGGTGCCTCCACAGGCACGGCCTCAGTTCAAGTGAGAGCCTTTTGCTCCTTTTGCCGTTGAACCCTGGAAAGAACTCCTGAGGGAATTGGACCTTGAATAACTGCTGGAGACGAAGACCAACCTGCCCTCCCTCAGCCTTCAGTACTTTGTCAGTGACCGGACTGTTGAGGCTCCTGGACCAGTTGAAGAGTGGACAGAACGGTAATAACCATAGCAGAGGTGCAGACACTGGAATCCTGACGAGGCAGGGTCCTTCCACAGAGTCCATGATTAGTGCCTGGAGTGACAATCACCATATAGAAGGTAGAGATACTGGGCTGTGGGATCATGAGGGAAAGCCCATCTTGGTTGCATTTCCCAAGTGGAGAACAAACCTAGATGACTGATGGTCAATCACACAGCTGTGATTAAGACAATGATAACCAAACTGGAAGCCGTAGAGCCGCAGAGGTTAGGTATAGAGTGAGGGACTGGAGGCCAGGGGAGGGAGGATAGATCTTATCAGGAAAGAGAAATAGAACAGATAGTTATGGCTGGGCGGAGAGGGATCAAGTTGGGAGGGGAGAGAAGGAGAACTGAGGAAATAGAGAGGGAGACAGCTAAAATGAACTGCTATTTGGGAAGTGATATGAAAACTGGTAACAGAGGAAGCATCCTAACATATATATGCATATATAGATATAGCTATATAGACATACAAAATGGTGTTCTGCCTGCAAGATATACTGGTGGCACAAAGTTTGTGAGATTAACTAACCACTACCTGATTCAACTTTCGGCCCCTTCCACAAAATGAAACACGTATCTGACATTGCTTGGGTGACCAAGAGTCAGAGGCTAGACAGCCCAAGGACCTAGGGTAAAACCAAATACACAAATACACTGCTTTAAAAAAAGAAAGAAACGCTTCAATAAAATGACTCCCAACGCTATTCTGCTACACTCGTAGATCAGGGCCTTACTCAGTCATCATCAGAGAAGCTTCCTCCTGCAGCAGATGGGAGCAAATACAGAGCCCCACAGCCACAAGTGAAAGACCCAGGAACACTCATCTCTACATGAGCTGTCTCCACCAAGTCCCTCTCCTCAGAGCTCAGGGAACCCAGTGGAAGGGGAGGAAGAAGAGCCAGAAGGGATGGAGGACACAAAGAAAAGAAGATTCTCTAAGTCAACATGAGCAAAGCTCATATGCGCTCAGAGACAGAGGCCACATGCTCAGGGCCTGCTCGGGTCTGCATCAGGTCCTCTGCATACGGCTTCCAGTTTAGTGTCTGTATGGGTTTCCTGAGTGTGCAAATGACTTGGGCCTTTTCTTGGGGATTCTCTTAGGCCTTTTTCCTTCTGTTTGATTGTTTTGTTCAATTTCAGTGTGTTAGGTTTTGTTTTATCTTGTATTTCATTTTCTTATTATCCATTAGAACTCTGTTTGTTTTCTAATGATAGAAAGGGAGTGCCTGAATGGAAGGGGAGTTGGGGAGCAACTGAGGGAGGAGGAGACAAGGACTGGGGGGGATGGGCTGTAATCAGGATTAAGAGGGGAAAAAACCTCATACAGCTAGCTGTAGTACACATTGCTATTACTTCCTCATTTTGTCATTGATTATTTCCTGACAAATTTTCTTTGAAAAAAAATCAATTCTTGCCATTCTTTATTGTTCTAGTTAATTAACACAGCTCAAAGTCACTATTATTTTGGAAACATAGATAGCACTTTAGTGTTGTGTGAATGTTCTAGAACAGTAGTTCTCAAACTTCCTAATGCTTCTCGACCTTGTAATACAGTTCCTCACCTTGTGGTGACCTCCCAATCATCAAATTATTTCACTGCTACTTCATAACTGTAATTTTGCTACTGTTACATATTGTAATGTAAATACCTGATATGCAGGATATCTGCTATGTGACCCCACGGGGTCTCGACCCACAGTTATAAAGTAAGTTTGTTCAAGGGCAGCACGCAAAGGTCCTGGTCAGGAAGTGGTTCCTGGACCCCACTTCTACTGGTCAGAATGTTTGCAAAATCCCCTGAGTGCTCACCTCATATTTCCACCTCTTCTCTGGAGGATTCATTTAATTAAGAACACACACACACAAACGCACACGCACGCACACACACACACACACACACGTATACACGCACACGCAGACACACATGCATGTACGTACGCATGCACACACACACACACACGCATGCACACATGCATACATTGAGAGGAGGTGGGGGAAAACATCCTGCGGCATTTTCTTCTTAATTTGTTTTAGTGCTCTGAATCTGGGTTGCCAACCTCCTTCCTGTCTGTGTTCCTTCATTCTCTTTAGCAGGTGTCTCAGCATTCATACCCACACCCTACCCCTCCTCCCCCATCTTGCATCATCTTCCTGGAGGTTATCAATGCCCTGAAGATGCCTTAGGCTGTGCCCGCCTACCACTATTCTGAAAATGGAAGGAGGGAGAGAGCATTTGAAATAAAGCATTCCCTACAAAAACAAACGGGAAAGAGGAAAGAAGGGGAAGGGGAGAGGAAGGAGGAGAAGTAGAGGGGGTAACAGGGACGGGGTGGGTGGGGGTACGGCACGCTTTGTAAACTGGCACTTAATAAAACCACAGCCCTTGAGTATCAGTCAGCAACTTTCACTTTCGATTCCGTTTTTCTTAATACTTTACAGCTGGGCAGGGTGAGTGATTATAGAATTACTTTAAAGGTGCTGGCCAGGAAGGACAGACAACCTGAGGTTTATCCTCAGAACCCACACCTGAAGGTGAAAAGTAACTCTCAAAGGGTGTCATCAGACCTCCACATTTGGGAACCCTGACACTCAGATCATGCAAACACACAAAATAATAGTAAGGTAAAAAGGTGTTGAGAGTTTCTTAATCTGTGATTTCTCATAGTCTTTAATATTTTAATATATATCGTTATTGTCTAAGGAGTGATCATACCTTCTGTGCCCCAAGTTCTTCCTTATGGAACTTTTGAGGAGTATACATTAAATGAGTAATTCTTGAATGTTGATGTTCTGGGTGGAGTATTTTGGATATTTGCACTGGTTAATTTTTGTCAACTTGACACAAATAGAGTAACCTGGGAAAAGAGAGTCTCCTTTGAGGAACTGTCTCCATTAGATATCCTGTGGGCATGTCTGTGGGAGCACCTTCTTCATTGCTGACTGACATGGAGGGCCTAGCCCAATGTGGGCAGTGCCACCCTAGGCAGATGGCTCTGAGTTGTATAAGAAAGCAAACTAAGAAAGCCAGTAAGTAGTGCTCTTTCCTGGCCTCATAGGTTCTTGAACCGACTTACCCCACCGATGGATTGTGATTTGTGAGTGCAATATGTAAGATGAAGTAAACCCTATTCTCCCTAAATTGCTGTTGATCAACGTTTTATTTCAGCAACCGAAAGCAAGCTAAGACAGTCTTTCTAAAGGTTATTTCTATTCTGCCAGTACATTTTGGAGAGTCACCATGCCTTCAAGTGAAAAAAAAAAAAGGAATAAATAAATGATTTATGTGTATACAAATGTTACCCATGCATGTCACAGTGTCCTCTTTTACTCTCTGCCTTATTCCCCGAGACAGGTTGTCTCATTGATCCCGGAGCTTGATGTTCTATCACCTAGCCTGACTGGAGGCTCAGAAAAACCAAGAAATCTTATTTCTGTCCCCACCTCAACAAATCTGGAGTTACAGGAGGATGGCTATACTTGACTTTTCTGGTGGATGCTGGCGATCTAAACTTAGGGATTCATGCTTGCATTGCAAGCAATCTTACCCACTGAACTTTGTCCATACCTCTAACAAATGCACTCTGTAATATGGTTTCAGGCACTCTAGTGGATGTGGGGAGCATTTTGTACACTCATAGTGTCTTACTTGAGCCATGCCATGCAAGTTAAAGTACATTTTTACTGTAAGAATAACTGCTTCTAAATATTTTACATATCACTCACATATACATCTGCCTCCATAAAAAAACTTAATAGATAAAAACCCATCAGCTTTTACTGTGGGCAATATTTTTGTTCTCTCTTCAATGGAGAAAGTTTTAAAATTTTGTTGTTAGCCAAACTGCTTTGACTAATTAGCAATACATTGATTTAATAGTTTCCAACCATAGTGAACATCCTTGCCTATTTTTTTTTTCTTTTTTCACCCTACATCTCTTCTCCTCATTCCTAGTAACAGGATTTCCAAGGTGGTTCTGGAAAAGCTGCCCATCTCCCCTCTCTATGACTATCTAATAGGAGTGGTTGTTTCAGTCAGAGTCAGTGCTTTCCAGGGAGTGAGAAACAGAATCAACAGAATAGAGGATGGATGCATGGATGCATGGGTGCATGGATGCACAGGTGCATGGATGCATGGGTGCATGGATGGATGGATGCATGGATGGATGGATGCATGAATGCATGGACAGGTGAATAGACAGGTGATAAACGTATGATAGATCTTTAGTAATTAGTTCACATGATTGCAGGATCTGGTATGTCTAGAGTCTATAGTGTATGTCAGCCAGATTGAGACCCATGAAAGAGTTGTAGTTCAAATCCAAAGGCAGCCTGCTGGTGGGCTTCCCACTTTTTCAAACATGATCAATCTTTTTCATAAAACATTGAGCTTCTTGGCTAAGGCCTAGTCACAGTGTAAAGGGC